TTAAAATTACATATAACTGATGTAAGAATTAAAATTACATATAACTGATGTAAGAATTAAAATTACATATAACTGATGTAAGAATTAAAATTACATATAACTGATGCAAGAATTAAAGCTCAACTCGTAGCTAAGTGGCAAAGGGCGTCTCTGCCACTTCTGGGGGAACACCAATAGGCCTGAGGAAAGATTGTATTTCCTTCGGGGGGGGGGACTTTCAGGGGACCTACCCCGGGCGAAAGCTCGAAAAACTTTGAACCAGGTAGTCCGACTAACGAGGTAATCTGCCAACCATCACAAAATCATCGATCTTTCCGTGTTTTGAAGCAATGTCTACAATAAAGTTGCCAGCAGATTGAACCTCCGCCCTAACTCTCATCAGCGGGCACTTTGTCACTGAGACGGGCAAAATTTCCTACCTTAATAAAGTTATTAACTAAATATCAATTAATATTTAGTTATAATAATCTTGAATTTTTAATAATATTATTTATTGTCCTCAATATTAACTGCGAGTTCGAAATTTTTCAAATGTATTACTTACATTGTTTTGATTGTTCTTTTTTTTTTCAAACATTGTTGAGGGGATCCAAATTCTGAGCAAATGGACCAAATACTTTATCTAAAATGAAACGAAGATTATTTAAAGAAATACATACTTTAGTTGTTGCTGTTTTAAAATTTTTATTAATCCGCTTATATTTTACTCAAACTAATTTTCGTGGAATATTTATATTCCTTGCTTAATTAAATTTATTTCGATTTCTTATTCCTTAATGCATCAGGAAATATCGTTGTTGATTGTTTTTCCCTCATAGATCCCTACCTCCCACACTTTAGTGTGTTATTTTTGTTGTTTTGCTTATAAATTGTTGTAAGTTTTTTACTATTCATATATTTAAATATATATTGAAGATATACCTTGAAATGTTTAGAAAAATCCTGGTTTCCCAACTGATAAGCTAATATTTATTCACAATATATAATATTAAATAATAATAATAATATTAAAAAATAATTAAAATATTTTGTACTTTTCATATTGTTAGTTGTTCAAGCAAATGACATCACTAATATAACATTCTATTTGAGTGAATAAGGCAGTTTTTCATACCATTCAAAACATTTTTCATGTTTTTTAAAAAAATTGGGTTAACTACTAAAGTACAGTTTTGGTTGCTGTAGTGAAATAAGTAAGTTTTATTATTTCAAAAGGAATAAAACATTTTTTAGTCTAACATTATTTATACTGATATAAAATTATTTATTTGAGAGTCTTTAATGTAAGATAATATTATTGCTGTTATATATAATATATTGTTGTTATATATATAATATATTGTAGTTATATATAATATATTGTTGTTATAATAATAAAATATATGTTATTGTTGTTATAATATATTGTTTTTTTTAATAATAATAAATAGAAATTGTTAAGAAAACTTACTGGTTGCCCTGCGCTTTAACGTGGCGCTTCTCATCTGAGGTATCATTATAGTGAAT